TGATGTGATAGTTAATAATATATTATATTGAATAAAAGGTATAGGTAAAATATTATATCTCTGTCTGTAATTTATTTAATTAATAAATAAATAATTAAATGAGATATTACCAATGGGTTATGCTTCAACATGACACCTTCGGTTATCATAATAATTATCATACTTATATAATTATATAATTATGCAAAGATGTATAGATTTTATATTTTTTAACTAAACAAATTCTATTTCTATAGTCTATACATACCTATAACTATTATATTCTTAATTATAAATAATAAACAGCTTATCTGATTATTATCTGATATATTATTTCGATATTTCAATAAAAACTTTATTTTACACAAATTAAACTCAATGGACATTTTATTAGATTCTCTTAAAATTAAAATTGTTGCATTGAGTAGGTACCTACTTTTAATGATTTACTGAAAAATATTGAAATATTGAAATATTATTCAGAAAAAAACATTAACTACCTTGAAATGTTATAATTCATGATAATAATATGCTACCTGATAATTTCGTTGAGTATAGGTATAGGTGTATAATGTATTTTTGTTTTACTTTTACTTATGATATTATACAAAAATAGTTTCATTTCATAATAAAATATTATAAAATTAATGTAATGCTTTCATAGTTTATAATTTATTTATTTTCTATTTTCTTATTTGTTATTTATTACTCCTTCTATTTTTTCTTCTGAATTAATAATTTTAATTTACTACATCGTGTCTTAAATGTAGTTAAAACGAAGTATATAACTTATATATACATAAAAATGTTTCATTGGTTTTGGTCGGTCAGGATATAATGTGAATATAAATTATCCAAATAAATATAAGTACCTACTCCTGTACCTAATGTGAAAATGAAATATAAATGTAAAATTTAAACTTAATGTGCCACCGTAAAACTTAATGTCACAAATAAAGCATCAAGTATTTTTTTACGATACATTTACTAGTGCCAGTAAACAATATATTTAATGTTTTGAAATAAAAATGCTCATTAAAACTATTCAAAGAATATACAACTAATATACAACTAAAACATTTTTGAACCAACGTTCTTTTTTTTAAGTCACTGTCTTATTTTGTTTACATTCTACGCTGATAAATTATTATTCTTTAAAATAATACCTAACTACTAGTAATGAGTGAACTCTGTCACAAATATTGAATATTATATTTATTTAAACAGTTAGTTCCTATTTATTCGTTTTTATTAAATGTAATTCTATTGAATGACAATTAATCATAATATTCATATTTGAAAATGTAATTGAATGTCGATAGTAAATTGTTGTAAATAATTTATTCAAGAGTATTTATTCATTCGGTAAAAACGATGTATTTAAGTATTTTTATTTTTCACAGTTGTTAATATAATATAATATATTATAAAAGGTACGATGATAAAGGTAACACAAAAACAGGGTACACTCCAGAATTCAGTTACTTATATTGCTCAGTGCCCTATCCTTTTTTTTGAATTCTGTTTGCCGGGACATGCAACTTAACTATTGTTTTATCATAAATTCCGATGACTCACAATTTTAGGCCAATTTTGCCTAAGAATTTATTTTTTTTCCCCAGCGCTTTTTGAAACTACTAGGAATTTTAAACTTTGGTCTCCCAAATGCACCAATTAGATTCACTTTCCCACCGGAAAAAATATTAAAGTTCAAAATCAAATCATTATTTCGAATACATATCGTGTATACACACTCAAAAATAATAAAAACAAAAAAAGACACATCATTGTAAACTAAATACATCCATAGCTCCACACAGAATCTAAATTGAATGTTTAAAATATTTTTGAAAACTTTTCTCCAAACAAATTTGAAATGCATTTATATAGTTACTAATATTTAATACCTAGTTAGTAAGTACACATCGATCTATCTCGATAATTTATTATCAAGAAAGTATACTATATACTAACAGCTTTAGACTATCATTCATATTTCAATATTATAAATATTAAAATATACTGAAATTAATAAAGTATTATTTTAAGTTAAAAAATAATAATACCTATTTAATTAAGTATAATATTAAAATGTAAAATATATTAATTATAATGTACGGTTTTAAAGTATTATTGGTTATTATGACTAATCTGAAAAATATCGGTAAAATACAATTTTACAAAACAATATATTTTAGACATTATATTTATATGGGGATTTTATATTTCCATTTTTAAATCCTGTATTAATATTAAAGTTTTAAAATTTAAACTGTTTAAGGGGAATTTATTGAGTTTTTCAAAAAAACCAAACTTTCTTTAGGTAAGTACAGCTTTAATGGGTAATTTTTAATGATAAAATATATAATTCTTACGTGTTACTACTATATTTTCTTAACGGTGGCTAATCATGCACTCACAAAATATTGAAAATATTGTTGGTTGTGTGTTTCAATAAATTAGATGTGATATTTCAAAAAAACGTTTTATTTAGGTACAGTTGATTTCATTTTAAAACCCATGCTGTAAACATATTTGTACCTACCTATATGTATTTGCTCACCCGGACACTGACAAATAAAACAACAATATTGATTAATGTTATTTGTTCAATAGATATAATAAAGTAATTAATAATTATTTTCGTGCCTGCAATTGTATTTTGTTTTAACCATTGTGAGAAGAGAGAAGTTTTAATCAGAAATATACCCTGCCGTTAATCAGTGATGGTTTTTCTTGGAGAATGTTTAATGTTTTGTCGTTAAAAACAGCACCTACTGAGCATTGTTAGTATGACTTTTCACCAGAAAATAAATGTTCTTACTGTTACTCAAAAAATCAATTAATTACATATATAAAACTCATTGAAAAAAAATACACAGTAACCAAATAAATAGATTAAACAGAAGATGGACACTTAATATGGATACTAATTCAATTTATTATTAATCAAATATTCGCATAGCATCAGTTAGTACGACGAATCTTAAACTTATTTTGTTGAGTAACTTTTCACTTTCCTGTATTAAATTCATATTAAAAAAGCACAACGATTTGAGAAAGAAACCTGGTACACTCATATTGTTATGACTGTTTTACTTAAATATATTTTACGATAATATGAAAGATAAACACCCATTTTCGTTGAACGTTTAGAGTTCTCCATATTACAGACAAAATTCTAAAAGCTAGAAACATGTTAGCTCATTTTTGCAATTTGTAAGTTATTCACGATGGTATGAAATTTGTACAATAATTGGATTTTAATAGTTTATCGAAGTTGAATGTACCTACGCAGTGCATGCTATAATAGTTGTGGGACGTGAACTTTTCTACAACGGTTGAATTAATAATAAGACAAATGATAGGTACCTCGTACCTAATGCAAATATTAGGAATAATGTAATAGGTAGTAGAGGCAGTATGTGATGTTTACATATATTAGGTACATAAAGCTACATTAATATGACGTGTGTATAAGTATAATAACTACGTTTATTTTTAGTTGAAAAAATATTTTTGTATTATTATTATGGTACGTATATTATTATAATATTATAAGACTTTAAAATAATTATGTAATTTTAAACGGATATGAATATTATTATTCAAACCATTTTTTATACAATTTATCCCTGAAAGTCATCACTAATAAAACAAGTTCGAGATACACCTTCGACGGTACTATCAGATAATATCCCATTGGCTACCTATTTTCGTAAATTTCATAAATTATAAGACAATTAATTTTATCATAGACACATAATATAATAGACCAGGAATGATAGCTGTTTTACTCATAATACATGACAACATGTGTGCGAGAGAGCAGAAAACGTATTGCTATTATAATGCCTATATGATGAGTTATAATCTCCTTGATAAAAAATCACATTACTCTTTGATAAATTTATATGGATCTATTAAGACACGGTAGCTTCACATACTATCTCACTTCATTCCTGGTCTATTATATTATACTATGTTTATCAATATTATAATATTAAATAATTATTATTGAAAAGTGGCTTCATCACGATAATCGTTACCTAGCTTGTAAAACGTTCAAAAATAAGCACAGTGGGTAAAGGAGTAATGTCCATTCTTGTGAAGAATTCCTTTTTTGTCATGTTCATTATACATATTATTATATTATAATATACTCGGATGAAAAACAAAAAAAAAACATTAAAATATTATTTTTTTAATTGATTATCTTATCAATTTTAATTTAATACCTATTTGGCTATGTTACACATTAGAATTTATTGTTTGTACTTATCATGGATAAATTATAAAATAACACATATTCGGATTCCATAATATAAAACATTTTAACATCTCAAAAAAATAAATATTAATATTTTAATATTATAGAGTTTTAAATTCCGAGAACTTTTTTTATTCCTTACAAATAATAACTATTATTTGTGTTTCGGTCGAAGGGGAATTTTTCACATGATTAAAAAATACAAAACGATATATTATTCAGAACACGTGTTTGAGTAGGTACCTAACTACTTTATCTCAAACGTTTTCAAATTTGTATTTGAGTACAAAAAAAATTGTATTAAGATTTAAGACACAATTATTAAAATACTTTAAAAGACTGATAAATAATAACGTTATTATTATTATATTATACCTGCGAATTACAGTTATTTTTCTTGATAGACGGCTCCGCCTGAGGTGTCGAGAGTGCGGTCGACCCGAAAACCTTCGCAAACACAAAACAGACTGTAAGGCGGTGGTCTATGTCGTGCACGACGACAACAATAATAACGGTAATAATAATAATAATAATAATAATAATTAATCTCGGACTTTGTAGTTTTCCGCTACAATTTACCCTTAGTAATATTATATATTATATAACGAGTGTGTATGTGTTGTGTTTACGAGCACTATATGTTATGTTTATAACGTTTCACCCACACACCCACACACACACACACACACACACACACACACACAACTAACCAGTAAAGTGCAGACTCTACACCCACACCGGTGTGGCCAAAATGCTTCGGCTGGGTGGCGGCGGCGAAAGCGAACAAACGTTTCGGCGGCGTCGGCAAATAGTAAATGACGTGACAGTCGGAACATACAATCCGATTATTAATGATATAGCCGACTTAAAACCGGTGATCAAGAGTCCCGGGGTAGGCGACGGGGTGGCGGCGAACAGGGTTGGTATGGAGGGTGGGATGGTCGTGCGTGATGTGGTGGTTGCGGCAGACAGGAGGGGGTGGTTGTTGTACACTAGTGGCGTAAAACAAGGTCGTTCGGCCGTGAACGGGCCGAGAGCGAACGCCTCGACGCGTATTTCGAACGGGCGCTATACACTCGCGAGTACTATATATGGCCCTCGAGTCCTGAAAAATGGTGTAGCCCACTTGATAAAACCCGCAGTGTTTTTTTTCCTCTCTTTTCTCCCCTCTCTTTTGAGTTACATTGACGTCGACGCGTTTCAAAACGGATTAATGAATGACAACAGACGTCGACGGTTCCTTTACACGCTGCGATAACCACAAACACATATAGCAGGTTATAGGTACCTCCTACGTATTTGCTCACGTGCGTTATTGTTATAAATATATTACGTCGCACCTCCTGCGAATCATGTAATTTTTTGTTGTACGAGTGTCATAATAATAATAATAATAATATAATATGCGAATACGAATAGTAATAATACGCGTTACGGGTAATTCTCGAAATCGGTCAAAGTTTGACATTTCCTGGGTGATATTATATTGACGTTGTCCGATGCTTCGTCACCCGACCAAAAGTAAAAGTTAATAGGCATGTCGTAGACGGTGTTGATATACCCATCTAGATAAATAATTACTAATCTATTATCTTATCTAGAGGAAACGTTCGTTATCTATTCTCAACACTGATCTTATAGTTATATCATAAGCGGCTGACGGCGTTGAAAAGTAATAAGTCTCACATTATTACCTAGGTAGTATTTGATATTTTAGATTTTCTCAAAGTAAACCAATCGTGCCGTGGGTATAAAGCAAAATTAAATAAAATCGTCTTGGTAGCAAGTCTGTAGATGTGAGTACAAGAAAAAAAAATGAATGGGCGAAATTATTACATTTTATAATTCGACCGAAATCGGATGACTAAAAACAACGGTGTGGCAAAACATAGTGCTCGTTGGCCTCTTACTGCATTTTACTATCTACTTAACGTCGGAAGACTAAATTCTATATCGTTGTATACCTACACCAAAGGTATTGAAAATACGAAAGACAAGACGACACGACGATTAGAGTTTTTGAAAACTTTGGGCAAACAACGTATGGAAGATAAAGTTAAGCGCAGAACAACAAACAACTAAAAACAAGACTACAAAATTATGTTAGGGTGCTAAATTATTTTACTTTAGATTCTGAGCGGAGCAATAAATGTATTCATATTTTACAATGATGTGTGTTTTTTTTTTATTTTATGTATGAAAACAATTTTTCCAATAGCAGTATTGGTCTGATCATCAACTTCTAAGGAGGTTTCTATAGTAACGGATTGGATCTAGTTGGGTAATTTTTAAAAATAATCGAGAAAACATAAAAAAAAAAATACATTTGTTGACATTTTAATATTATTATTAAAATAACTGTTCTGTGTTTTATAACCTTTTGGCTGCATTGATCGTTTTTCATCGTACACAATTAATTATCATTTAATTCAAATTTAATACATCCATAGCAGTGCCTATTCAATGTCAAGGTACACTCGTCACCTACTATACAGCGAAGAGGTTAAATCCACTTAATGGCTTTTTAAAATGCTTATTCATAAAATAATATGACTTTCAATGTAGGTAATTAAAATAATTATTCACACACATGAATTGTTAATTATTTTAAGTTACAAAATACCATTTTAAAGTTTCGTATTTTTTAAAAAGCCACCACTTGATAATATTATTACCCGGGTACTTAATGTGGAAAAAATGAATACATAATTATGCTCAGACCCTACTCAGGCTGCCCACGCAAGCTCAATCATAACAGGTATAATTTAACAAATCGGAGATCACCGTAACATAGTATAGTATGTTTAATGTTTATGTTATACTATTATAATAATTATGCTGTGGGTACCTGAAAAACCTGACAAATGAAATAACTTTTGTTCTAATCAATATTTTTTATTTTTTTTTATTATTTAATTTTGCGTTACATGTATGTGTATTGTAGGTATAGAACTGAAGTATAACATTTTTATTTTTATTTTTTAAAACTGAAAAAAAAATCCGTTATACTTTCTTCTTTTTTGAAAATAATTTTTACAATTATTGCTATCTTGCAATTCTGATTTTTAGAAACATTTTCATTCTAAAAATATTTATTGAAGTCATAAAGTTTATTATTTACAGTTTATGTAACTCAAAAGTCAATAAACATTATAAATATAAAAAAAAACATTTTAAATAAAAAGAGTTGTAGAACAAAAGTTATTTGATTTATCAGATTCTTTCTGTTACAGTGTTAGACCCCGTATTTTTTATGGTATCCATAACTTTCAATAATTATATTGTATATACCAGATACCTAGTAGGTAATAAGTAACAACAATATATAGATATTATTGTGTATTTTTATTTTTTTTTTAATAAGATTTTAACTTTAAATTATAATGTCTCGACAACTATGTACATTAATCTGAAATAAATATAAGTTGGTAAAGCTAACACTCTTAAATTCGGAGGCCTGATTGATTTTTATTTTAGAATCATTAAAGACACTTTATTCCAAGATATACAAATTATTATTATATTTTGTCATTGTGATTTTTCCACCTATGGTTAGGTTACCCTTTTAGGTAATTTAGATATAGGATAATTTGGTCACCTATGGTGACCCTTATTGATCGACTCCATTGAACCTGACATTTTTTTCCAAGCATTTTGATACACAAATTTTGCCTAATTAGTATAAAAACTTCCTATGTTGAAAATAGGGAAACGAAACTTAGTACCTATAGAGTACTAAATATTATATAAAATAAAAACGAAAAGTTTTTTTTTATCGTAAATCAATCGATAAAATGACAGTGCCTGGTGACTCTTATCGCGCTGAATAATAATAATAATTATTATTATTATGTGTACACGTGTGCCACGCCACTGTCATATATTATTATCGTCCTGCTCGTCGCCTATCCGTCGTGGTCGTCTGTCCTCGTTTCGAACGAGAATAATAATAATAACAATAATAATAAATTAACTTACGTTTCCCGTGAAAAGCATCGCGTATGTGATACGCACGCAGGTACACGATATAATGCCATATATATTTCCGAGTTCGTCAAACACACGGTTTTCGACGTCGTCGGGAGCCCCAATGGTTGCACAGGCCTTGTGAGGGGTCTTAAAAAGTCATAATTCAAAGGTCACTGAGCAATAAAGCCACAGAGACTAGTCGCTTATATAAGTATGCTGTTTGCGTTTGAAACGCTCGTAATAATAATAATAATAATAACAACAACCGGCGATTAAAATGGCGACCCGCTATTAAGGAACGGTTATTATTACACGGGTAAGTCGTGGGTGTGGAGTGGAGGGGGGGTGGTATCCGTGGTTTGATGTTGTCGTACGACTATAATATAATATGCTAATTACGCCAGTCAACGCGATTTCCGAGTGGAAAAATATAACACACACACGAACACTAATGTGCAGTGGTAGTAGTAATACGAGCGTTAATTCAGTCATTAGTCGATTAGAAAACGCCTTTTCCGGCATCCATATCTATATCTGGGTTTAAGTTCTCGAAAATTAAGCTTATTATCATAACGAGAGTTATTTGGAGAATGTGAATACTTCCCGCACGCTATAAATGTGCAGGTCGGCGATATTATTATGCGCATTAAGTCTCGCAGGCGATATAAAATATGGTCTGGTAACCAAATGTTGATGGTATACCTAATATGTTTTTCAAAAAACAGTTAAACTTCTCGTGAACGAACCACGAGTATACCGCATAAAAACCGTGAAACAAAAATATGTAAAATACAAACAAAAGTGCACTTATAACACCGCACACGTGCTGTGTGTGTGCTTAATAACCATTGAATTATCCGACACACGAATAATTGTTGATTATTGGCTTATGCATTTTACATTTTATTACTGTGGTTTTCGTGCGGACATAATAATACGGTATTATAACACCACACGGTACGGAGCTACTTATTATATTAGCATAGCTTATGCATTTGTGTTCAGATGGAATAGGAATAATATTATAATTTCCACATCATGCACATATTATTTTCTATCTCTGGTCGTTTCGACTCGAAGCGGTGATAATAATAATTTAAACGTAGCGTTGCTCTATTAAAATAATTATAATAACAAGAATAATATAATACAATAATATGTTGACACATTTCATCCACAAATTCTTTACTTTCAATAATAACAACATCACATGACGCAAAAACACGAGTAGCATTATTTCTGTTCATTATAGGGGTAAGCATCATGTTATTATTATGATATTGTATAGGTATACCTACTGGAAATATTCAAAAGAAACTTGCAGTTTTCTTTTTTTTTTAAATGACAACTATTACTTTGCCTCTCACAGACGGTCAACGGAAAACCTAATATAATTTACGAAGAATCAAGAGAACATATTTTTACAATTCGGCAAAGAAACTTTATGATTTATTATTTTACTTCGCGTCAAACAAACTCGATGAAATATAACATAGCCAACAACATATATAGAACCAAGGCAGATAAAACAAGACATTTTTTTTTCCATTGTGAAGTTATTTCAAACCTTGACGTTGAAAATCATCAATGTGAAGTATGCTAAGACTACATACCTACCTGCAGCTTGTACTACAACAACACACATGTTGTTGGATAAATATTCGTGTGCGTAGAAAACGTATAAGGTATGAAAATTAATTTCAAATGTGAATAAAGACTGATGAAAATATAATAATATTAAGTCACGAGTGTAAAGTTTAATAGTGGATAAATTGAAAAATGTCAATTGTGAGGTTTAAAACTAGACGATTATACGTACTATATGAAATAAGGAAACGTTAATGGACGCCGAATACATTGCAGGACGGCGTCCTGATCGATACGTGTAAAAGAGAACGTTGAAACTTGAAGGGATTATAGTTAAGGAGAAAATAATCCATCTGGCTGGTTCTAAAGGCTAGGTTTAATTGTCTCTGCTATCGTGTTCAGATGGAAATGACTGTTAATACAATTTTAAAAACGGCGTAGGGGTAGCTGATGATGTTCGAAATTAGCGAGTAACTGGTTACTCTGAAAACCATATTATAAATAATAGTGTTTTGGACTGCAACAAGTATTTTAACAGTTAAGATTCGAAACTGGTACAGCTATATATATCGTACTTAAATTATCGGTCTGGACACTATTCGCACTGTTGACATAAGATATAATATTTAACAATTATTATATTGGTCGACAGGATAATATTATGTAAACAGAATATTTTAGTGATGACATTTTTTTTTAAAA